TATCGTTTGCCTCGCTCGAACCCGTAGTAGCTTAAAAAAGACTATGAACTATATTTTAATGTACTACCCAGCACACTTAAATCGGCTGTTATAAACAAATAAACCAACTATCGATCGGGATCAAAAACATGAACTCGACCACAGCGGACAATTATTCCGATTATTGCATAAACCAACTACGAAGCTCATATAAAACAACTCTGGTCCGATCTGCGTAAACCATCCTCTTCTAACTCTGTCAATCCTCTTCCAGACAAACATCATCCGCCAAAAATAACGATGTATATATGACGACGTAATTTTGTTAAAAAACGTTCTACTTCATAGAATCAAGTATCAACACAACTCTTAAAATTTCTAACCACCGTAATCGACAATCCTGCCATTGAGCGAAAAATAAAAACGAATAACGCATTCATACCCGGTTAACAACGTCCAACAACGAACGCTCAAATTCGATCCTATTTCAACGACGGTGCAGAAATCTTCAAAGACGATAAAGAACCGCTGGAACGATGAAGAGAACCTTCGAAAAATATTGTACACGATTTGATATAACGGCCAATGATCTCACGTAATTTTATTCCGTAATTTTAGGCAACGTATCAGCAAATCTCAAATCACATAGTAAAGGAAATAAATGCCGTTTAAAAATAAAACATGGGTATTAAAGGAAAATTATATAATATATTTTGCCAAGTTGGCAAAATTGGGTCTATCTCAAAAAGGGGGAAAAAAATTGGATCTACCTCATTAGAAAATATGAACAAGGGGGTTATCCCTAATAAACCCTTTTTTTAATTAGAGATTTGAGATTTAATTTAACAATTAATTTATAAAAAAACATATAAATGTTATATAAATAGATTACAAATACACAAATGTGAAACACATAGAACCAAATATGTTATATTCATAGATATAGAAATACACATATGTCATAAACATAGAACAAAATATCAATGTTGTCAAAACCGGACCGGACACGAAATCAAATAGGCATTCGAGTCAGGGTTAGATCGGTTTAACCGAGTTCAACCATGGTATTTTTTCATTCTTTTATTAATACATTCAAACACACATTTTCATCATTAAACAACATATTAAATGCTATAATTTAATCCAAAAATCATCCATCATAATAATGGATTTCATAAAAAAAATATAAAACAAAGAAATTAGTCAATTACTAAAAACGAACAAACATCCACGCACATTTATCAAATACAAATCTTAAATTTAAAATAAAATCATCTCATAATAATCACCCTCATCACTCATAAATATCATCCTCGTCTCCATCTTCATCTCCATCTTTTTTTACTTGATATTCCTCTAAATCATGCTCTTCAAGATCTATACATAGATAAAAATACATATCAAGTCAATTCAATATAGCTTTAAATTACTTCACGTCATCATCACTAAAACTAAATATCATACAAAACAAACCTTGTACACTTGATTCTCTCAAATCTCTTGGAAATTCCTCAAGCAACATGCTTTCAGGCTTGTTGTTGTTACAAAACTTCATTCGTAAAGAGATGCCCGTGGACCAATTGGAAGCAAAACTTCGTCCTGTCCATAATCCCACTAACGATCCCACACTAAGATTTATTGAAAGTGTGGAAAATCCACAACAATGGATGTCGTGGAGGGATCATATTGCTAGAGCTATGTACGATAAGTGGAGGAGCAGACGATACAATAGTTTTACTTAATTTGTTATTTGCATCACTATGTATTCATTTATTATTGTACATAATTTTGTATTTTATTCTTATTTGATGACAATGTATTCATACCATCTAGCACAAACTTCACATTGGTATGATATTGTCCAAATTGAGCCATACTCAATTGGTTTTGCTCTTGAGTTTCCCCAAAAGGCCTCATACCAACAAAGTTGTTATCCCCTCCTTATAAATGAGTGATCTTTCCGGTATTAAACAGATGTAGGACATTGTTTGCACCTCAGCAACCCCTCCCCCCCTCCCACTCGAACAAAGGACCACCATAGGGCGGACAACAAATGATCATTGAGCCCCCCCTCAATTTTACGCCCTGGGGCTCACACCATCTTTGTCCGCGCATCAAGCCTCGAACAAAGAACACCGAGCCTCCCACCTGGAGCTCGTCAAGTTGCCTACCATTTGCGCACTGGGAGCTCACCATTTTCGTTCGGCTGAGAGGATTCCAACAATTTCACACAGATTCCGATAATTTCCACCATATGGTTAAGTCCGGGCCTTGGCTCTGATACCACTGTTGGGTATCCTCCCGAAGAAACAACTAAATAATAATGTACAACCATAGTATTATCCATAAATCAACACCCATCAAATAATACTCATATCAATGGCAACAATTAATCAAGACAATATTCAATAACAAATTAACGTGGACATAAGAATCATTAAACAAATCAAACCACTAAATAAAGATAACAAGAATTGAGAACTACTGCAACAGTTGCAAATTAAAGAATTTGCATAAATTAAAAGAGAAAAGCAAAGTGGAACCGTCAGCAGAACACAAACTCTGCAATGGGGAAGCTCCGGCGGCGGTTCGATTTCCCAGCTCAGTCCTCGTTCTCCAAGTCCTCGTCCAAGATCCAAGTGGGGTCTCCAAACACTCACCATAACACAATACACACACAACAGCACAATACACACACAGAGTATTCCAAGGGAAAAAAGCCCAACCCAAAACCGACGAATTCAAATTCTAATCTCACTGTTATTTTTTCTAAAAAAACAAGACTCAAACTCACGAAAAAAATAGAGTTTTATATCTCAAAAAGTGGGGGGAACTCTCAATAAATCACACGCTCCAAACTCATTTATTTTCCTCTCTTTTTCGTCCCACACGTTTTCACCGAGAATAAGTTGAATATATAACCCCTGGTATACCTGTTGGTTGAGAAGAGAAAGGGGGAGTTGCACTTATCGAGAGTAGCAAAAGAGAGATATTAGGAAAAAAGAAATTTGAGGAAATCACGTTAGAGAGAGAAGGAAAAATCACCACGTGAGATTAGGTTTCTAGGCTAAAAGACCATGGGCTCGAGTCTCGACTTTGTGTGTGGACTGCTGGTAAGTAGGATGCAAGGTGGATTTTTAATGGGCATTCACAAAGAATTTATTGGGCCACACTCTACAAATGTTCCACATTGGTTTAATACATACCACAATGATCCTATTTTAAACCTATTGAATATTTTCAATACATGCCACAATAACGGTCTACTAATTTACTAATTAATGTAATGGCAAATAAACACATTGAACAACTTTTTTTAAAGCAATGATCTTATTTTAGTTTATTTTGTTAAATGTTAAAACTCTTTTTACTCTAAGTTAGAGATGTTTTGATATTTTGGATATAAATTTCGACCAAAAAAAGTAAATTAATATTTTTAGTTGGACCATCAATCACCCATACCAAACACGTGATTAGTTGGATATGAAATATTTTGAACAGTACAATTCTTAGATTAATTATCAACCCATGTAATCCGATCACTCACACCAAACATGGGCTATAAGTATTGCTCGAGCTGAAGTTCATTTCTAATCGAATGAAATCCAAAACACAAGTTTAAAACTAAATAATAAATCAAACAAGTCTGAAAAATCATATTAGTATCTAAATAATGTGTTTAGCCTCAATTCCATTCAATTATCCTTCCATCTACTTCA